AAGAGGGAGATTGCATTCACACTAGCTAGAAAAAAAGATCATGAATATGAATGAGATTGTGGTCAGGTTTAGGAGTAAATAGGCAGATTATGTTCACATGCAAATCTCATGATTTTAGGCGTGATTCTAGCAATGCAATCTGAAAGTTTTCATACTTAGAGGGATGATTCCTAGCCTATATATTTTCTATTATTCTTTGGTAAAAGACAGACTAGACTTTTCTTTATCCTTAGGCAATCTTCGAGATTGTTTTTCAAGTTCTGTATCTCTTAGTTGGATTTTCTAGAGTGATAAATTTTTTTTGTTTTGTATCTTTAATTAGAATTCTTAGGGTGGTGTTTTTGTATCCCTTAGTTTCTAGTATTAGTGGTGAACTTTTATCCTTTTAATACAATAATCATATTCTGCCATTATTCAAATCCTTGTGAGTTGTTTTCTCTGTGAGTTTTCTGTTTGCAGTTAATCTTTACATCTAAAACATCAATTCCCAGCATCAAATTGGTATCAGAGCTATCGCAGGTCGTCGTCATCAAGCACCAGTAGAAAAGGTTGAAACCAACACCGATGTTGCAGCAACTATCAATGTTGACCCAATGGATGCCCTTATAGAAAAGATGCAACAACAGATCCTTCAACTACAACATCAGCTACATATACAGAAGAAAGAAGAAGAGATAAGGAGACAACGAAGGAGGAATGGAGAAGATGAAGGAGAAACCAATCCATACCATGGAAAATAACAGTGATTCTAATGATAGCACCCTATCTCACCCACGACAAGTCAGAGATCATCTACACATAAACCAATTTCAACCTAGCCTATTCAATCCAAAAATAGAGATTCCTGAGTTCGAAGGGAAGATGTAACTTGATAAAATTTTAGATTGGCTACACACGGGGGAACACATATTTGAATACTATGATGCCCTTGAACATCGCAAGGTGAAGCTAGTGACCATCAAACTTAGAAAGCATGCATCCTTTTGGTGGGAAAATCTAAGAAAGAAAAGGCAGGAAAAAATTACAACTTAGGAAAAGATGAAAAGAGAGTTAAAGAGGAAGTATCTCCCAGATAACTTTTGACAATATGTCTTCCTTAAGCTCCATAATTTGAAACCAAAAGATCTCTTAGTGGAGGAGAATATGACTGAGTTTGACCACCTCATGTTAAAGTGCAAATTGGTGAAACAGGAGAAGCAAACTATTGCTCGGTATCTTGGAGGGTTAAAGATTAAGATAGCTAATGTGGTGCAGCTACAACCCTATTGGACTTTCAACGATGTATGCGAGCTTGCCCTTAAGGTGAAAAAACAACAAAATGAGGCCCGTGATAATAGCTCGAGATTTGGGTCCAGAGAAGGCTATATCAATAAATGTGGCTCATCCAAAACTATTGTTCCTTCTAAGCCCATTCCAAAGCAACGCCCAAAAGAAAGATGAAACCTTTACAAGCAAGCCTCAGTCTGGTGCACAAACTAGAAAGATGTTTCAAATGCCAAGGGCTTGGACACATTACTTCAGAATGCCCAATAGAAATTTGACTTTAGTAGAGGAGATTGGAGGAAAATGAAGAAGAGCTGGCTGAAGAGGATCTAAACCTTGAAAAGGAAGAAGAGGTGACCTATGGCGATTGTGGAGCATCCTTAGTCATACAATACAGTTTGAGTATCGCACCTGGTAAAGAAAAAGATTGATTGCGTAAAAACATGTTTCACACTTGGTGTACTCCCCATGGGAAAGGTATTTGATGTTATAATTGAAAGTGAAAGTTTGAAAACATTGAGTCTACCTTTATGATACAAAATTAGGCCTCAAGACAGTGGATCAGCCCCAACCATATAAGCTATCTTGGCTCCAGAAAAAGAATGAAATCAAGGTTAGCAATAGATGTTTGGTTCTTTTTTTCATAGAAAGAATTACAAGGATGAAGTGTGGTGTGATGTAGCTCCAATGGATGCTTGCCATTTACTACTGAGGAGACCTTGGCATTATGATAGGAGGATTATTTATGATGGTTACGAAACACTTACACATTTGTGAAGGATGGATGCAAAATCATTCTAGGCCCTACCAAGCCCATAGTGATGTCCAAACCAACCAAAGAGAAGGAAACAACTTGTTTACCAAGGCCAATTACAAAAAAGAAATTAATATGGGTGGTACTATGTATGCACTGGTGTTGATTGAGAAAAATAAAAATAGTGAGAAGCCTCTTACAGTGATATAACCTTTATTGACAAAATTTCAAGATGTTGTTCAAGAAGAGTTACCAACTAGTCTACCACCAATGGGGGACATTCAACACTGCATAGACATTATCCCATGAGCTGTTCTACCTAACAAGGTAGCCTATAGGATGAGTCCTAAAGAGCATGCAGAGTTAAACACTAAGTTGATGAATTGGTGAGAAAAGGAATGGTGCGTGAAAGCATGAGCCCTTGTGTAATCCCAACCTTTTTGGTGCCTAAGAAGGATGGATCGTGGCACATGTGTATGGATAGTAGGGCAATCAACAAAATCATAATTGATAATCATTTTTTTATTCCACACTTAGATGACTTGCTAGACTAATTACATAGAGCAACTATTTTCTTCAAGATAAACCTACGTAGTGGTTATCACCAAATCAGAATGAGGCTTGGAGAGGAGTGGAAAACAACCTTCAAGACAAGGGATGGTCTCTATGAATGGATGGTAATGCATTTTGGTTTATCTAATGCTCCTAGTACTTTCATGAGATTTATGAATCATATCCTTAAACCTTGCATTGGCAAATTTGTAGTAGTTTATTTTGATAATATTCTGGTGTATAGCAAAGATAAGGATCAACACTTAAATCATCTACACCAACTGTTTTGCATATTGAGGGAACAAAAACTTTATGCTAACCTTAAAAAATATAGTTTCTTTACTTCTAGCCTTATGTTTTTAAGGTTTGTGGTGTCAAAGGAAGGAATAAAGATGGATCCCAACAAGGTTGAGGCAATTTTAAATTAACCGACACTAGTATCTCTGCATGATATCCAGAGTTTCCATGGTCTTGCATCTTTTTATACGCACTTCATTAGGAGTTTTAGCTCCATTGTGGCTTCCATCACTGAATGTTTGAAGAATGAAGCTTTTAAGTGGACCAAAGAAGCCCAATACAGTTTTGAGCTCATCAAGACCAAGATCACTAAAGCTCCTATCTTGTCCTTACCAGACTTTGATCAAGTGTTTGAGGTGGAATGTGATGCATCCAATTTGGAAAAGGTGCTGTTTTAAGTCAAGGGGGAAAGCCTATAGCATTTTTCAGTAACAAACTTAATGAAGGCAAGATGAAGTATTCAACCTATGACAAGGAGTTCTACGCCATTTATAGGGCTTTATTCCATTTAAGTCAATATCTCATTCCTAAACCATTTTTCCTATATTCAGACCATGAGGCCTTAAAGTTTATCAACAGCCAATACAAGCTCAACTGAAGACATGCAGCTTAGGTGGAATTTCTTCAAGCCTACAACTTCACTATCAAACACAAATCGGGGAGTCAAAATATGGTGGCAGATGCTTTGAGTCGAATGCACTCTTTATTAGGGATTCTGGCTGTTGAAGTTATTAGATTTGACATGATCAAACAGATCCTTACTTTGGTCAAATTTGGGAAGAATGCAAGCAAGGACCACACAATCAGTTTTTGTTGCATGATGGATATCTCTTCAAGGCTAACAGTCTTTGAATTCCCTCATGTTCCTTGAGATAGGCCTTAATCAATGAGGCTCATGATAGTGCACTAGGTGGACACTTTGGAAGGGACAAGACACTTGCTATTTTGTAGGACAAGTTTTATTGGCCAATGATAGAAAGGGATGTTATGAAACACCTTGAAAGATGTAGAGTGTGCCACATTGCCAAGAGTCATGGTCAAAATACTAGATTGTATACTCCACTACCCATGCCTAATACTCCTTTGGAGGATGTTAGTTTGGACTTTGTAGTTGGATTGCCTAGAACTCAAAGGAACAAAGACTCTATCATGGTGGTAGTGGATCGTTTTTCCAAGATGGCCCATTTTGTTCCTTGTAACAAAACTATAGATGCTTCTCATGTTTTTTTATCTATATTTCATGAAAATTGTGAGGCTACATGGAGTTCTAGATCCATGGTGTCTGATCAAAATTCCAAGTTTCTTAGTCATTTTGGCGCACCCTTTAGAGGAAGCTTGGCACCAATCTCAAGTATAGTTCTTCTCATCATCCTTAAACAGATGGTCAAACAAAGGTAACTAACCGCAGCTTGGGTAATCTTTTAAGGAGTTATGTGGGAAAAAAATCAAGCAGTGGGATCTTGTTTTACCTCGAATAGAATTTACTTACAATCTCTCACCAAACTAAATCATTGGTTGCAGTCCTTTTGAGATGATATATGGTAAGAATCCAATCAATCCTTTAGATTTAGTTCATTGCCTTACTAATCAACAATTAGTGGAGATACAGAGGAAATGGCTAAGGGTATCAAACGATTGCATGAACAAGTTAGAATTAAGATTTTACAGTAGAATGAGAAGTATAAGAAGGCAGGAGACAAGCATCGAAAGCATGTGAAGTTCAAAAAAGGTGACTTATTGTAGATTAACTTACAGAAAAAGAGATTTTCTCCAGGAAATTTTTGGCAAATTACAACCTAAGGCAGATGATCAATTTAGAGTTCTCCAACGCATTGGGGAGAATACCTATAAGATAGAGTTTCCCGATATTTATGAAGTATCTTCCACCTTCAATGTTACTGATTTGTCACCTTACCATGGAGAGAATACCAATTCAAACTTGAGGACAAGTCTTTTCCAATCAGAAGAGATTAACATCAGAGTGTCTGCACATCATACAACTTGAGCTAAGAGTAAGACAAACTCATCTATAAATAAGATTGACCTATCCTTGATCCAAATCCACACATAAATAAGGTGAGCTGAAAAAAGGAGATTGCGTTCACACTAGCTAAAAAAAAGATCATGAATATGATTGAGATTGTGGTCATGTTCAGTAGTAAATAGACAGATTATGTTCACATGCAAATCTTATGATTTTAGGCGTGATTCTAGTAATGCAATCTAAATATTTTCATTCTTAGAAGGATGTTCCTAGCCTATATATTTTCTATTATTCTTTGGTACAATACATACTAGAGTTTTCTTTATCCTTAGACAATCTTCGAGATTGTTTTTCAGGTTATGTATCTTTTAAGTGGATTTCCTAGAGTGATGAACTTCTATTATTCTGTATCTTTTATTAGAATTCTTAAGATGGTGTTTCTGTATCCCTTAGTTTCTAGTCTTGGTGGTAAACTTTTATCCCTTTTAATACAATAATCATATTCTACCATTATTCAAATCCTTATGAGTTATTTTCTCTGTGAATTTTTCTGTTTGCAGTTAATCTCCACATCTAAAACATCAATTCCCGGCATCAGCTAGCTAGCCCATCAGCTGTTCTCGGAGAGAATCTATGGCCTGCCCAGCGACTATTTCATACATTTTTTCTGCTGGATGAACAGCATCCCAGAATAAATATTTTGAATCATCAGCGCATGTGCTCATGCCTTTGCATTTATCTCCATACTCTACTGTCCTCGTTCCACGACATCCTTTGGAAGTTTCAGCCAAACCTGTTAAATTTTTTGGGGTTTTCAGAAATATATATATATATATATATAACATTCTTTAGCATTTTAAAACCAAATAAAGTAAAAGAAATAAGAAGGATTGATCAAAGCCAATTACCATATTTTTTGGGGTTGTTCATAGTATCGCAACGACATATTTCCGTCAGAGTCTTGAAAAGGGGCATGCAGCCCAAGGGAGGGACCCCGACAACGACTAATCGTGCAATTCCAAGCCTATGCATCGTTTGCAATAATCAAACAACATGGAAAATTAAACGTAAAACCAACAGAAGGTAGCTAGGAAAATAATTATTGAGATTTGTAAAAACTTGTTACTTAATATTTCATGCTCCTGATGTAAAAGAGTAATAAAACTTAGTATTTCACTTTCAATTCTAGTTAAATAGAATTTTTTTTTTTTTTTTTATAAAAGAGATTGCAACATGAGTTATCTAGGTAATAATATTGAAATTTGAATCACACAAATCTTAAATGTTATCTTTTAAAGATAATCACATGAATTAACTAAATTAAATTCCGGATTAATAGAATTTTCCTTTTTCTAGGCTCATTCCCTGTCTTGGGTCATCAATTACAAAATCATTCATTATCCTAAAAGCAATAATTTAGGGCTATAAGCAAAAAATTGTTTGAATAAAGGTATGGCTCAAATGTGATTGATCATTTAAACCTATATATGTAAAGAACATCTATAACTTATAGAAGACTACACTATAAAAGTGAAGCATAACATCAAACTTTTAGTCATAATAGACAGCAAATTCTGCGCTGACCGCTTTTCTTCTTTGCACAAAATTTCATATAACACCAGCCTGGCACTTATACATGTTGCCTCAAGCGTTGACATTGAACTTACCACTTCAAGTAGAGAAGCCCCCTCTCTAAGTCCCACTTTCTGTCCTGGATCTTTAGCAAATGGTGGTGGTGCTGCTGGATCAAGATATTTCCTCTCTTTAGTAACAAGACCCTTAACTAGTAATAAACAACAGAAAATTAACTATTTATCCACCATGTGGAGGATGAAATTAAAATTACCAGATGGTCAATTGACATATAGTTAAAATCAAAGTGCTTAGATTCCCAGAGTCAAACCATAATCATTTTCTAATAAGAAATAAGAAATTAAAAAAAAAAAAAAACTTCGATCATTTTTCTAGTAAACCTTTTTCCACATGTTCTGTTCGTGCAAGCCTCGTCTTTATAACACAAAAGAATGGGCATGTTACATATCTAAAAGAACAGAAAAGGCTTTGCACAAATAGGATGAAGAGTACTAGAGTAGTGGACGTATAAAACCATACATCTTTATCAAATAGGAAAAAGTTGTGCAGCTAGTTCGGCTTTTCCTGTCATCCTCGCAACAGCTTGCACAGCCATGCTAAGAACACCAAGCCCTGCACTGGAAGACAGACAGAAAGGTGGACATGAGAAATAAAGCCAAGAGGGAATGGGCACAGAGAAATAGCTGAAAAATTTTGGTGAAAGGCTGAAAGCCAAAGCCTTATCTATAAGTTAGTCAAGTACCTTCCAGCTCACACCACAACTATCTTTTGGTTTGGAAATTCAGCCAATGATCAACCTTGTGCTCTTACAGTTTCTAACAATCCAGCAAGTGTAACTCCAGAAGTTCCCTAAGAGACATTAAGCACAACTTTATAATAATGGTGGCATTCATAGTGATTTCAGAGCAATCCGCATTACACTAGACACTAATCCGAATGGTGTAACCATCAACTAAACAACATGATATAAACCAAGCATAACACAAAATTCTCACTTGCGAAAGAAATAAACCTGTACAATAGCCTTAGGCCAACCTGTGAAAACTGCTTCCATGAACTCATCAACAATTGATAGATATTCTTCCCCTTCTAACCTAGGTTGTCTTAATCCTAAATCTGTCAAGCCAAAAGAACATGTCAAAAAAATCCTGACAACCTGTCAAAAAAAAAAAAGTCACAGCAATCATATCATATGGTCCACTCTGCAAAGGTAACAACTTCTTAAGAACAAAGTAATTGAGTACATATTTTACTCACAAAGCCGGTCTTCAAGTAGCCTTTGATTGCTAGTACCAACGTCTAGCATAACGGGGAGTATCTGTCAGAGACAGATATTGATTGAATAATTAAAGTTATAACACATGACAAGAGTCACCATAGCAAGAAAAAATTGAAATGTATGGAAACCAACTTTCAAAGCAAGATATAAATCAACTCGACAGCTCTAAAACAGCAGTGAACAACTTTGCAATTTTTCTTGGAAATTATTTGCTAAAGAGTTTTCAATAACAATAGAATAAGAATTTATATCCTTTCTCTTGATTCACATAAAGCTCTAAAGGAGGCAGGTTCTGCAAATGAATGGAAGACAACCACATTGCAAAGTTGAACTATAATCAGTGCAACCACATTCCAAAGATTTGTTTGAGGCAAGATTCATTTTGCTTTCTTTGTGCTTGTGCAAGATAGTAGCATTTACATAGTTTTTCCTCATATTCATTCCCAGACAACAACTTACCCATATGCCTCACTGAAACTCTATAACAATATGTTATTAAAACTATACACTCTTTTACTTATTTTACACAAAACACGAAATGCATACACAAAAGCAACTAGCTCATGCTCATGCAAAATAGCCTATTTGGATCAAGATTCTTTATGAGAAATTCTCACTCAAATTGAAAATTAAATTGATTAGTTACAGTAAACAGTGCAAACTGCAACTATTTATCAACAATATTCAAGTCAAATTGTTTTGTATGCATTTTCCTACCTGTGCTTGGTATCGTGAGAAGCAAGTATGGCTCAGTCTTCACAAGGTCTTCAACAGAGCTTCTATACTTGGCTATCAGATCCCTAAAATTGGAAGAAAAAAATGCACGCATTCATCAACTAGAAACATTCAATTGCAAAAAACACAAATTAGGACCAACTACTTACCTCCTTTGATTTAGAAATTGCTCACTTTCCTCCAGCTTTCGCTTTTGTCCTTCAACAGTCTACATCCAACATCCACTAATTCCCAAGTTATAGAAAGAAATACTAATACTAACATATTAGCACATTTTAAGAACCTATCATCACAAAATCAAATGTCAACAGAACTGATGAATGAATCATTTGGACCAAGGGAAAATGATCAGCAATGAGAAGCAAAAACAAGTCATACCAGCACTGCAAACTCTGTCTCATGCAATTACACCTGAGGATAATGTGATCAACCCATAGCAGACTGGTTCTGCGTTGCATCTGGTTTCAGGTGCTGTTTGTAAAAAATTTAGAAGCCATTAGCATTCCTATATGAATGTGGATGGAAATAAACGAGTAAAGAAAAGTAGGACAAAAATAACACAAGTTGTGGCTTGTGAATCTGCCATGAATTCTTCATACGTAGACAACCTAGCCGCTAGCTACAATCTCATGAATGGAATCACTAACAGCGATCTAACAATAAGTTTCATTGCTACATCCTTTGGACCGTCAATTCCAAATCGCAATTCACCAAAATTAGGGATTTTCAAAATTCGTAACCAATTAATTTTGGCGAAAGTATGTACGCAATCCTTTGGACAGTTAGCCATTTGGTTCATTACAAAATCAAAATAAAAAAAGGAGTGAGATTGATTTTGGCGAAAGTACCTAGCTAGGAAACGATGTTGACGGAGAAGAAGACGAGGATCGAGCTGAAACTAGAGAGGAAAATCAAAATTGGCGAACCTACCTGGCTGAAGAAACAGCGTGACTGTGACAAAATGAGTAATTTTGGCGAAATTACCTCGCTGAAGAAACGATGTTGACAGTGACAAAATGAATCAATGGAGGCAAGATGACGATGATGATGGTGAGAGTAGAGATTCAAAAGTTAGGGTTTGATTTTAAAAAAGTATGGATAATAGCTTGAAATCGTATTGGAGAAGAGTAATTTGAGAGAGATTTTGATTTTCAAAAGTTACGGTTGGATTTTCTAATTTTCAATCGGTAAAGAAGGGAGAAGAACAAAAGCAGACAAATGGGAGACGATGAAAAAAATTATTTTGTCAGGAGGGTTTTTTCTTATTGGAGGCTATTAGTGTGCTTAAATCATTATTGCCTGATGGGGTTTTCATTTTTGTTAGGAAATTACAGGGAATTAAAGGAAAGTTCCGGCCGTTTCTCAAACCTTAGTAAAATAAATGCCATTAAAATTATATAGTTTTGTTGTGATATTTGTATGATATTCTTATAATTTTGTGTTAATTACTTAAAAAAAATTAAGTTGACCTAAAATTCAATCTAATCTAAAGTAAATTTTTTAAATTTCAGTTGAACTCAAATTGAACTAGTAATTAATGTATTAGGTATGTACTCAAAGTTCATGCTAATAGAAAATTTGATAAAAGTGATATAAGATTAATTTATCAATTATTCATCTAACAATTTTTATATTCATATAATTTGAAACACTTTGGGTATTAGTATTGTGTTTTAAACAAAAATTGGATATTACATTTTATATCAACATGAAAAAATACGAAATATATTTTTTTAGTTTTTATTAAAATCATATATGAATTTTATTAAAATTTTAACTCATGTTATTTTTATTTTTTTATTATTTTTATATCGTATTATTATATCATATTTTAAATTATCAAATTTATCTAACACCTTAAAAGATTTGGGTTGTAATACATAAGGTATATTTTTCATAATAAATTATCAATAATCGTAATTTCATATTAGATTATTTAATTTATTATAAATATATATAATATTATGGGATAAATGGATAAAACATTTGACTAACTATTCATAAATATGTTCGAATTATATTTGTTTATTAAATTTAATAAACGATTATAAACAACATTTTTAAAGTTTTTTAATTAAACAAATATACTACAAATATAACAAAATTTATTCATATTCGATTCGTTGTAAAAATTAATATAATGTTCTACAAACAATTCGTAAATATGCTTGATTTTTATTCATTTATTAAATTTAATAAATAATTATAAAAAATATTTCATGATTCATTAATTACATTATCAAAAATGTACTTATTACCAATAAAATTTTATCGATGAATTTTTTTACCGATAATTACAAATAAAATACCAATGAATTATCAACTAAGTTGAAAAGTAAAACTATTAATTTATTACCATTGAAATACCAATGGATTATCGAAAAAAATACAAATGAAATAATTTTCATTGGTATATTTTTGGCGTATCTATAAAATTTTGGCACTATACTTACGAATGAAAAATTATATAAATAATAATATTTTTGGCATACCTATAAAATTTTGGCGCTATACTTACGAATGAAAAATTATATAAATAATAATGTAGACACATTTTACCAATTGAATATCAACGAAAAAATTCTGTCCATTAATAATTTAGGTGTAAAAATTTTGTTTAATTAATAAATAAAATTTTATATTTTAAATTTTAAAATTTTTAAATCGATTTTCATCGGTATTTCATTAGTGATTTTCATTTAGGAATAAAATCCCTAACTCTTCTCTTAAACATTTATCTCCCTCACTCACAGTTTGCTTTTCCCACTTCCTCCACTAGATCGTCATCCCTCTTCTCTATCCTCAATTCCTCTTCCGACGGCCTTTCTCTTCCACCGTTCACCACTATAACATCATTTGTGACTGAGAACATCTCTAGAACCAGTAATCGAGGAAGCTTCAGGTGAAATTATATATATCTTTAAACTAATGCTTCTTTTAATCTTTTTTAGAGCCACACAAGCACTAAAGGAGAAGAAATGAGATGCATTGGTTACCGGAGATGGGCATAATGGGTTGACAACCGTGGCTTACTTGGCTCGTGGCAGCCTGTCAGTTACCGTGTTTAAGCAATACCTGTCCGTAGAAGCTTTAGGTGAAATTTTTTATTTTTTATTTTTTTTGAACTTTTTGTTAATAATATGAGTTGTTGTATGGCATTTAAATTGAAAAAAAAAAGGAAGAATTAAAGAGACATGTTTGAATTTGTCGAAGCTAATAACGACGGTGTTTACTGATTGGCTAAACAATTTAAAGAAAAGTAAAATTTCGAGGAAAATGAAATCTCTAATTTCTTTGATACTATGTGTGATGAATCATGCTCTCTTTAGAATGTCCACCTTGTCTCAAATTTGTATTTTATTTTTATAGTCTCCTTCCAATTTTCAATAAATCAGACAGAACTTTGATGTTTTTTCTAGGTTTTGATGTAAAGGTAAAGTTGAAAATCATTTTAGCTTTTTAAATTTTCCATCAACTATATTTTCTATGCAATTTTAAACTTTGATTTGTGATGAACTAGAGCTAGTTAGAAAGTCAATTCAATTTGTTGAAGCATCAAATGATCTGATTTGTGATATAGTATGGTACAAAGGAAGTGAAAATGCTTGCTTATTATAAGCCAATAAATAACATATTTAAATTTACTATGTTCTTATTGAGGTTTGTTTGTAATAAATGAGTTGAGAATCTTTTGTTCTGTTTCTAATTAAGGTCATGGCTATTTGAATTAATATATTTAACATCATTTAGTGTTAGCGATAAGCCCTTTTACAATTTTATGAACCATTGTCAAATGTGAGTTGGTGTTTTTGTTGTCTATACTTTTTATTGAATTTAACTTTTATTTCTAGTATTTAACTAATTCATCTATTGGTTCTTTGTCTTCACTTGTCTTGCAATTCATCTATTAACTAATGGCTTCTAAGGGACCAAGGTCCAAGCTTGAGCAACAGACAAGAAGTAGGTGTCAAAAGGTAATAGTGTCTGAGGTTTTTATAGCTCTCTTTTGTGGTCTCTTATATTGTTATTATTGTTGTTAGTGTCATCATCCATGAACATACTTGCACATGCTTAACTGTAAAGAAGTTTGAAGATTCAATTTTTGTGGAAACTTAATCATTTTAAGAGTGAATTTATATTGAGTTTTTGCTTAACTGTCATGAACTTTTTGTTGTACCTTAGTTTATAAATTGCTTTTGGCTGGAAGCAATTAGTAGTTATTTTCTAATACAAGTGAGGTTTTCTTTTGACTTGTGCTTTTTAAGTTCCATTAATAATTAAGGTTTGAATCCATCTCGTAATTGTAAATAAAAATCAGTTTTGTGAATGTTCTTCAAGAATATCTACCTACACATAAATGAGTAAATCTTCCAGGAATGTGAAAAGAAGAATTTTATATCCTAAACACTCGTTGATGCATGACAATTTGCTTGGCATTAGTGCTAACATGGTGCTTATCTAAGATGAATTTTGTTTTGTTTTGCATATTCTGCTTGGCATCATTTTGTTTTGTTTCCAAGCCTATCATTTATCTTGGCCTTTTGTTTGCTTGATATGATTTTGCATTATGTCTTGTATGCATCCAAAAATTATGATTTTTTAGTTCATTTCGCATGATTTTACTTTAATATTATTTTTAATAAAGCTTCCAAATTTGTTATGGAAATAGATTGCTTTAGTAATTGAGCCCAAGAATACGGAAGCAAGTACTATGTACAGACAAGTTTAGGAGGTGTGGCCAACGGCCAATGTCAAGTTCAATTGCTTTGGTTGGAATTTTGTGTGATAAATTTTTTTTAGCTTGATTTAGTGTTTGTATGTTCTTTTGGTAATGCGGCTAAAAATAGTTAATTGTTTTATTTTCTGATAAGGAAGTTAATGATTGAATATGATGGACGACCCAAAGTTAAAAGGTAGTCCTTGAAGTGAGCAGAGTGTGGTTGCCACTCCAACAATTGCTTCAACTCCAACAAGACCAGAATCCAACAAGTCCTTCTAGTCAATCTTGTTCTACGCTTATTTTAGTCAGTTGTTGATATATTTGCTTTGGTAACTATATTTAAGAATTTGAACCGGTGAATATTGATTCTTGTAGACTGCAAAAACATGGTACTTCAGGATTGTAAAATATTATTATTCATGTAAGTACTTAAAAACTAAATTAAAAAAACTAAAATAAAATGAGAGAATTTATAAACAAAGTAGAATTATATATGATTAAAAAACAAGTATTACTGGCGGAATTTTAAGTATTGACGGCAGAGGTTTTTTTTTTTTACAAAATTGAAAAAAATTATTAAAATAATATACAAACTGAAAATTTTATTGGTAAAACAAAAAATCTCGTGGTAAATTATGGAAGAAATTATATCATCAACTTCGTTTATATTGAAGAAATTTTGTCCGTAAATTTATTGATAATATTATTACAAACAAAAAATAAAATATTATCAATAGAAATTTTCATTGATAATACTTTATTTTTGGATAGTGTTAAACGAACAAATAAAAAATATAACAAAACTTATTTATGTTTAGTTTGTTTGCATCTCTAATAATATATTTAAAAAATTAAGTTAAAACTCTTCCAAAATAAAAAATTTTTTGAATGTGTTTATGCACCGGGAATTATACACTAGCTTGACAATCAATCATATTATTAATTTTATTCAACAAATAAGTGAAGTATCAAGATCGCACTGTCATTATTCTTATCAATTGTCTCAAATAATTTGTCAAATTTTGTTTAGAGAGTCTTGCGAATGTTAAGATTACATGAAAAGTGGCAAGAAGTGCCAGCAGAGTGGCAAGTTTTTCTTAAATGTCAAGATTAAACTTATAATCTCACAATTTATCTCATTTTCTTATAAAAAAGGAGAGATATTTTTTGTTAATTAAAAGTTTTTGTTAGCATTCTTTTCTAATATTTTTCAGTCCAATTTAAACAAGTTACACAATTAACAAGAATTACCACTAGATCTTGATACAAACTTGAAAAAGTAACAGATAAGAATAACAAAATAGAATTGAATTTTAATAATCTATTAAGTATCAAACTTAAAATTAATTGATAATAGATGAAGGAAATTCAACTTGAATTTAAAACCACGAAAATAGGATACCATTACTTTTAACAATGGAGTGCTTGGGAAGGTTATGGGAGACTTACGAGAGAAAACTTGACCGAGTAGACTCTTTCTTTTTCCCTACTTTTCTGATCCAGCTTGACTAATTTAGGTTTTTTTCCTTTTCTTTTGATCCATTTGAGGGAATACAATATGGATTGCAACTTCTTCTTTAAATCAAATATATATTATGTGGAAGGTAAATTCAAAGTTTGATCAATCAAATTAAAAAAAAAATCAAATTTGATTTTAAAATTAAATCATTAATGATGAATGAAAATGTAAGACTACATATACTTGATTGGACGGCAAAAAAGGATCTTTATTAGCCATCTTATTCTGATCCTTCTCTTTTTCCATAAATTATTGATTGCATTCCTCCTCAGTTTCTCAAACAAATTAAAAGAGAGCAAATTTTGATTCCAACAATACCACTAAGCACACAACGCAAAAAATTATCTTTAATATAATTAAGTAGAAAAAGGCGACATGAGAGGTTAGCTCTAGCTGATGATTAAGAAGAAAAATTCATACAAACATTTCAAATTCTGTTCTCTTTTAAAATAAAAATAAAATTTCAAAACATATATTTTAGTTTTCTAAATAAATTTAAAAATTTTTCCAAATTTTTATAAATTCAAAATTTTTTTACTAAAAATCAAATTGTACTATTTATTTTTTCCAAATTTATATTATTATACGTGAAATTTTTAAAAATAAAATATAAATATTTTCCACATCAACAACATATGACAAAAAACTAAATTTTGGATGGAATATTCTATTTTAATCCATGGATGATTAAAATTACATAAAAATATAATAAAGTGATAAAATTATACCAAAAAAAGTAAAATATATATGGGATTCTAAGTTTTGACTTCTAATATCAAGATTAATTCTCCTTTTGCAAGAAATGACTAAGACTGCTAAGCTGAACATATACACATACCATTTCAATCCAACATTTTCCATCAACTTAGTTGTTTTCATTTATTTGTATTCCAGTAAGTATTTAACTCAGTAAGATCCCTTCTTTAACTAAAGAACATCAACTAGGGAAACTTAAAAAAAATCAATCTAATTGAATGAAATTAAGATGCATGGAATTCTTACAGCAATTCTTATGCCACAAATAATATGTGATTTCTCTAATGTCTAGAGGGAGGAAGAAATGCTATTCAACTGATATTCAGAATTGATGAATTTTCAAGTGACTTCCTTACAGAAACACAATGATAATTAAAATGTGCGTATTGATGTTTTAAAAGATCCTTGTTTTCAGTCTGCCAGCGGAAAGGACAACAAACCATAAACTTTTAGCTGATAAAAACAAGACATAAATAAACAGGAATGCAGTCTCTTGTACCCTCATAGAAATTTGCATTCTAATATGATCGCAATATTTGTCTGCAAGTCTATGAAGTTGGGTGAAAGGTTTGTGAAATGCTGCAGCAAATTGACAACTGCTTCATTCACTTGCATCTCCTGAAACTCACATTCTTCATCTCCTGAAATTCACATATAGACTTATATCACTACCAATTGGCCATGTTGTTTGTTGAGCTCTAGTAGACTCTTCCTCTATATCTTCATCAATTGTTCGGATTGCCTGCAAAACAAATTAAAGCATGGCATGTGAAGAACAAGAAGCATGTATAATTCAGTAAATTGAAACAATAACGCAACAAGGACCATTGAATGAACCCACTAAGAAAGTTTGCCACCCCATAGAACTGGGAATTAATATTGCCAGCCAATTACATTTTCAATTTCATTAGAAATTAAAACAAACACATGGATGACAAATTTCATTTGAAATCCATAACAAGGTCCATTGAACAGACGAGATTAATATTGCATAATCAACAAAGCTGAAAGAGGAAATAAAAGCATGAAAAATATACGACAGATGAACCTCTCTGTTCATAAGTTTACCCAAGTTCAGCTATACAAAAGGCAGGGCAGCTTTTGATACTTTTATATTGAGAGTTAGGGTGCGTAGCGTACCTCTGTTTTGGCATGCCCAGATTGCTCTGAATCAACACTAAAGCTTGTGGTTATATTGGGACAACCTCTTACAGATAAAGATTGCAAAGATGGGAATACGAAATGATAACCCGCAGGGCTGAAGCTCACAAGGTTTGGTAAAGTTTGAAGATGTAAGGTGCCCAATTGAGGTAGCTGTATCACTTTCTCTTTTTCCTCGCTACCATTTGCCTCATCTCCTGATTGTTCAAATACTTGTTCTAATTTGGAGACGTTGTCAACATGTAGAACTTTTAGTTTTGGAAGGCCATGAGCAACACTCACCGGAAAGAGACATTTCAAGTTTTCACATGAATAAATGTGTATTCCAGTCAGACTAGGGAGGCATATAGGTTGGAGATGATGACCTTGTGATGAAGTTTGACCATCCTTTTCAATAATTTGCTCCAATTTCTCACACTCATATATCCATAAAGAGCTCAATTGTGGCAAATTCCGAGCGATGGTAGGTGATAAGATATATCTTAACTTTCCGCATCTACAGACATCAATTCAGTGAGGTTTTGAAAGTTGACAACTTGGATGGGATCTTTCCATGCCACCCGCAATTCAGGTAGATCTATCAATATTAGTTCCCTCAAACTTGATAGATTATATCCACCATCAAATAACTTTTCAAAATTAGTGATGGTTAAATATTCCATATTTGGTAATTTCTGTACCAATTTAGGAACTATCATATTGCATGATTGCTTCTTTTCTCCCATATCCTAAATTTAACACCTGCAATCATATCATTTAATTATTAATTCCAAAAATGTAAAAAGTGACTAAATGTTTATTTATTCTTTATTTTTAAATTTTATTTAAAATTTTGATTTTAACAATCTTATCATTAAATTAAACATATTGCTTTAAAGGTCCATTTAAACCATGATTAAATGAAACGACCAATATAAGTAAATCTAATGTGAATTAAGTTTAAAATTTAAATTTCTTAAATTTTTTATTCTAATCAATTAAAATTTAGAAAAATCCTTAATTTAGAACCATATCTCTTATAATTATTATAGTACAATTAACTAAACATAATTTAGTATTGTGCAGGCCCATCAAAAAATTGTTTAGAAGCCACATTTTAAATGGTGGCTACATAATTCTTAATTGTGATTGGTTAACTATAATATAGTAACAAAGATAATTATAAATGAAATACTCTCAATTCATTAATTTAAATCAAAGACAAATAATTTAATTAAAATATAAAACAACAGTTTTGAAAAGATTAGTTCTATATCATGAATAAAAATGAATCCATATGAAACGTTTAAAAACACAAAGTACATACTACATATGGCTTTTCAATATATCTAAGAAATAAAGTTTGTTCTAAGAATTATGCTTAAAGAAATATATTTTCTTATATGCGTTAAAACATTTACAAAAATATTATTACTTTTAATTAATTTTTTTATTTGGTTTAATTTTTAACTCAAAACTAAATTATTAATTCAGTTTGGTTTGAAAAGTTTTTGGCGTTAAACTAAACTGAGCCAAATCACCTAGTTCAGCTTGGTTTTTCTGTTTTGACCAAATAAAGCTCACACTACTCTCAATAGTGCTAAATGGTGATATTAAGGGTTTTTTAGTTCATGGTATTAATTATTTATGTTTTTATGGGAAGAAATAACAAATTTCTATGCTACCATGCTATTATTACTGGACTCCCTGATATGCATGTCAGGGATAGGGAATCTTTAGAAAACCGAAATAATATTGTTCTGTAGCCTCTGTTATGCCAGCAATAGGGAATCCTTAGAAAACCGGAATCCAATAGGGAATACTTAGAAAATCTCGCAGATATTTTTAGATATTTCATTTGAGTGACTTGAAAAATAATGCAGCAAGATAAATGGGTTAATCAGACAAAAAATCATTATTAAGATATGAAATGCATTTTTTCAATGCATTTCATTAGTACAAATGCAATTTAATAATTATTTATTAAATTATTTTTTATTGATTTAAATAATAAAACATTGATTTAGTGGTAAAATTTTTTTTCAGAAATTTGAATGTTTTAAATTTAAATCTTATTAGTTATGAATTTAATTTAATTTATGTTAAATTTCTCTTATATATAATTTATTTACTTTTTAAGTGAAACATTTAAATATAATTATAATTTTTTATTAATATTTCATAAAAATTATATACTTGCAAAAATCAAAACTAATTATTTTATATTAAAAAAAGTAGATAAATAATGCTAAATAGTACGAACATTATGTTTTTATGAGAAGAAATAACCAATTTGTGATATTAATTATTTAAGGCTTTTTTTATGAGAAGAAATGACTATTTAGCATTTTATGCAATAATTAATTGAACTTAAAATGAAATCTCCTAGCTACATATTTCCTATAAACTCAATCTCCTAAAACATTAAAATAACTAAATGAGATAGATATAAACAACTCAAGAAACTAATTATAGTAAATTCCTAAAAATTGAAAACAAAAAGTAATAACATTTTTAGAATGGACAATTCCTACTTCAAATATAAAGAAAAAGACAACTAGAAAAGAAAATGTCAAAGAAAATTAAAGCAAATTACACCATACATCCATGATTTTTATGCAATATTTCATTTTCATTCATGATTTAATTAAAACTCAAAATTTTCATTCACGAAGTTTTTAAAATATTTCAAATTCATCAATTTCAACAATCAATCATTAAAATTTAACTAAATTTGTCATCTCAAAATATTGTTCGTGTGTGTGTATAACCATGTAAACATGCATGTGATAAAGAGGTGGGAGTTTTTCTAACTTTTTAAATTGAAATTCTTGTCATATGCCCATCTATGTGACATTAAAATGGATTTATTCTGTTAATTTTTTTAATAACGATTGGTGTAATAGATAAATTTAAAATATTTTAAAAGGTGTAAATAAAAAAATTGAGTTTCATAAGATCGTGGATGAAAGTAAAATAATATTGCACAAAGCTTATGGATGCCTTATGCATTTTAATAGTGACAGCTATTTTAAAAGTCCACAATTGAAATTTTAATTATCACTACTTAAGTAGGGAGAAGTAGATTCACATTAATTTTACCCAAAGTAATACAAAGTCTATCTTTTAAATATTGTAGCACTTGAAAACTTTTTAGTCACCAACTTATCAGGAAAATAAATTTAGTCAACGACATTAACACTATGTAGTCAAATTATTTTACTTAGTGTTTGTTTCCAAAGATAAAAAATTATAAAAAAGGTTTTATTTAAGAAAAAAAGAATTTTCTCTCCCAATTTAAATGGATTAAGTTCCCATTTTTTTTCTTTCAGCTCTCTTATCTATTCTTCCATTCTTTATATTCCTCCTACAAAGTATAGTTGAAAGTGTAAAACCACAAATAAATAGGCTTACCTGTATTTTAGCCGAAATGATAAAAGGAGTCAATTGTGGACAATCATCCACACACAACTCTTGTAAAGATGGCAGCGTGAGTACAATGTCATTCCCATCCCTTCCTTTTAATTCAGGCAATCTTCCCAATGAAACCTCATTCAACTGCGGAAGACCTTCAGCCATTGAGATTGGAAAAGTATATTCCAATCGAGAGCAATCCCAAATCCCAAGTGTTGACAATTTCTCCAAAATTTGACCATGCGACAATGAGGAAAGAGATGTCAAGTTATTGCAGCCACTTACATATACTTCCCTTAGACTTTGGAGATTTATGTTTGCCACTTCCGTTTTGGGAATTATTTCTTCCAATTCCAAGCAGTCGGTTATGTTTAGTGTTTCCAGTTGTCCAAGACTTTTAGCAACAGACGTTGGGAAGAGATATCTCAATTTATTGCAGTTGACTATTGTTACAACCTTCAAACTTTGTAAGCTTACATGATGACTGGGTCCTTGTTGTATGCTTCTCAATTCAGCAATCTGAAATAGCACTTTATCTCATCATAAATTCCATAAACAGTGATTAAAATTTGACAAACTATATCATCTCCAAATCATGTGTATGTATGTCCATGTGACCGTGCATGTGGTAAGATGGTGTTCTTTGACTTTTTAAGTTAAAATTCATGTCATATGCACATCCATTAAATTTTTAACAATGATTGGAATAATAGATGAATTTAAAATATTTTAAAAGGTTGTGTTCTATTAAATTTTTAACAATGATTGGAATAATAGATGAACTTAAAACATTTAAAAAAGTCATGCACAAAAAAAACTGAGTTTTATAATATTGTAGATGAAAGTAAAATAATATTGCACAAAACTTATAGAGAAAAGTAAAATAAAAAAGGCTATTTTAAAATTCTCCAATTGATATTTAAATGATCACTGTTTAAGTAGTGAAGAAGTAGGTTTACGTTAGTTTTATACAAAGCATACAAAATCTATCTTTTAAATATTGTAACTCTTAGACTTGAACTTTTCGAACACCAATTTATCAAGAAAAAAAATTCATGTTGACAACATTAACACTATGTTTAATGGTTGGAAGAAAAATAAAGGAAGGGAAAAAGGGTGAGGAAAGCAAAAACAAATGATAGAAAAAAGATTAATTTTCTTTTTTATTGTTTGTTACCAAAAGATAAACAAAAAGAAAAAAGAAAAGGATTAAGAAGAAAATATTTAAAAAAGGTTTTATTAATATAAAAGAATGTTTTTCTCCAATTTAAAGGATTTACACAAGTGAGTGTACAATTATTGATCGATTGAATTTTTTTGGGAGCTTTCAACTAATAAAACCTATTTTAATAAGTTGTTATCCAATTTTCTCTAAACTTTGACCATGCGACAATGAGGAAAAGAATGTCAAGTTACTGCAGCCACTTACATGTACTTCCCTTAGACTTTGGAGATTGATGTTTACACTTCCGTTTTGGGAATTATTTCTTCCAATTCCAAGCATTCGGATATGTTCAGCGTTTCCAGTTGCCCAAGACTTTTAGCAACAGATGTTGGGAAGAGATGTCTCAATTTATTGCAGTTGTCTATTCTTACAACCTTCAAACTTTGTAAGCTTACATGATGACTGGGTCCTTGTTCTATGCTCCTCAATTCAGCAATCTGACATAGCACTTGCATCTCATCATAAATTCCATAAACAGTGATTAAAATTTGACAAACTATATCATCTTCAAATCATGTGTATGTATGTCCATGTGACCGTGCATGTGGTAAGATGGTGTTCTTTGACTTTTAAGTTAAAATTCATGTCATAATGCACATCCATTAAATTTTTAACAATGATTGGAATAATAGATGAATTTAAAATATTTTAAAAGGTTGTGTTCTATTAAATTTTAACAATGATTGGAATAATAGATGAACTTAAAACATTTTAAAAAGTTGTACACCAAAAAAAATTGAGTTTTGTAATATCGCAGATGAAAGTAAAACAATATTGCACAAAACTTATAGAAAAAGTAAAATAAAAAAAGCTATCTTAAAATTTCACAACTGATCTTTAAATGATCCTTGTTTCAGTAGTGAAGAAGTAGATTTACTTAGTTTACACAAGTGACCAAAGTCTATCTTTTAAATATTATATCTCTTAGACTTGAACTTTTCGAACACCAAGTTTATCAAGAAAAAAAATTCTGTCGACAACATTAACATTATGTTTAATGGTTGGAAGAAAATAAAGAGAGGGAAAAAGGGTGAGGAAAGCAAAAATAAATGATAGAAAAGAAAATTAATTTTCTTTTTTATTGTTTGGTACCAAAGATAAAACAAAAAAGAAAAAGAAAAAGGATTAGAAGAAAAATTATTTAAAAAAAGGTTTTATTAAGTACAAAAGAATGTTTTTCTCCCAATTTAAAAGGATTAAATTTTGATCGATTTTTTTTTCTTTCCACTCTCTATTTAAAAGTGTTGTCAATTTCTCCAAACTTTGACCATGCGACAATGAGGAAAGAGATGTCAAGTTACTGCAGCCACTTACAAAACCTTCCCTTGGACTTGGGAGATTGATGTTTGACACTTCCGTTTTGGGAATTATTTCTTCCAATTCCAAGCAGTCGGATATGAGCAGTTCTTCCAGTTGTCCAAGACTTTGAGCAACAGACGTGGGGAAGAGATATCTCAATTTATTGCAGTTGTCTATTCTTACAAGCTTCAAACTTTGTAAGCTTACATGATGACTGGTTCCTTCTTGTATGCTCCTCTCTTCAGCAATCTGAAATAGGACTTGCATCTCATCATAAATTCCATAAACAGTGATTAAAATTTGACAAACTATATCATCTCCGAATCATGTGTATGTATGTCCATGTGAACTATCATGTGGTAAGACGGTGTTCTTTGACTTTTTAAGTTAAAATTCATGTCATATGCACATCCATTAAATTTTTAACAATGATTGGAATAATAGATGAACTTAAAACATTTTAAAAAGTCGTATATGAAAAAAAATTGAGTTTTATAATATCGCAGATGAAAGTAAAACAATATTGCATAAAACTTATAGAAGAAAGTAAAACAGAAAAAGCTATCTTAAAATTTCACAACTGATCTTTAAATGATCATTGTTTAAGTAGTGAAGAAGTAGATTTACGTTAGTTTTACACAAAGTGATACAAAGTCTATCTTTTAAATATTGTAGCTCTTAGACTTGAACTTTTCGAACACCAGTTTATCAAGAAAAAAAAATTCTGTCGACAACATTAACACTATGTTTAATGGTTGGAAGAAAAATAAAGAGAGGGAAAAAGGGTGAGGAAAGCAAAAATAAATGATAGAAAAGAAAATTAATTTTCTTTTTTATTGTTTGGTACCAAAGATAAAACAAAAAAAGAAAAAGGATTAGAAGAAAAATTATTTAAAAAAAGGTTTTATTAAGTACAAAAGAATGTTTTTCTCCCAATTTAAAAGGATTAAATTTTGATCGATTTTTTTTTCTTTCCACTCTCTATTTAAAAGTGTTGTCAATTTCTCCAAACTTTGACCATGCGACAATGAGGAAAGAGATGTCAAGTTACTGCAGCCACTTACAAAACCTTCCCTTGGACTTGGGAGATTGATGTTTGACACTTCCGTTTTGGGAATTATTTCTTCCAATTCCAAGCATTCGGATATGCACAGTTCTTCCAGTTGTCCAAGACTTTGAGCAACAGACGTGGGGAACAGATATCTCAATTTATTGCACTTGTCTATTGTTACAACCTTCAAACTTTGTAAGCTTACATGATGACTGGGTCCTTGTTGTATGCTCCTCAATTCAGCAGTCTGAAATAGCACTTGCATCTCATCATAAATTCAATAATGCTAAATGGTGATATTAAGGGTTTTTTAGTTCATAGTATTAATTATTTAAGGCTTTTTTATGAGAAGAAATGACCATTTAGCATTGTATGTAATAATTAATTGAACTTAAAATGAAATCACCTAGCTAGATATTTCCTAAAAACTCAATCTCCTATAACATTAAAATAACTAAATGAAATCAATTTAGACAACTCAAGAAACTAATTATAGTAATCTCCTAAAAATTGAAAACAAGTAGTAATAACATATTTGGAATGGACAATACCTTCTTCAAATATAAAGAGAAAGACAACTAGCAAAGAAAATGTCGATGAAAATTAGAGTAAATTACATCACGCATTTATGATTTTTGTAAAATATTTCATTTCATTCACGGTGTTAATTAAAACTCAAAATTTTTATTCACGAGTTTTTAAATTCAAATTCATCAATTTGAACAATCAATCATTAAATTTTGACTAAATTTATCATCTCAAAATATTTTTTGTGCATATGTGTGTATAACTATGTAAACTTGCACATGATAAAAAGGTGAGAGTTTTTAAACTTTTTAAGTTGAAATTCATGTCATATGCACATCCATTAAATTTTTAACAATGATTGGAATAATAGATGAATTTAAAATATTTTAAAAGGTTGTGTTCTATTAAACTTTTAACAATGATTGGAATAATAGATTAACTTTAAACATTTTAAAAAGTTGTATATGAAAAAAATTGAGTTTTATAATAGCGTAAGTGAAAGCAAAATAATATTGCACAAAACTTATAGATGAAAGTAAAATAAAGAAAGCTATCTTAAAATTCCACAATTGAGCTTTAAACTATCACTGTTTAAGTAGTGAAGAAGTAGGTTTACATTAGTTTTACCCAAAGTAACACAAAGCCTATCTTTTAAATATTGTAGCTCTTGGACTTGAACTTTTCCAACACCAATTTATCAAGAAAAAAAAATCTGTCGACAACATTAACACTATGTTTAATTGGTTGGAAGAAAAATAAAGGGAGGGAAAAAGGGTGAGGAAAGCAAAAATAAATGATAGAAAAGAAAATTAATTTTCTTTTTTATTGTTTGGTACCAAAGATAAACAAAAAAAGAAAAAAGAAAAAGGATTAGAAGAAAAATTATTTAAAAAAAGGTTTTATTAAGTATAAAAGAATGTTTTTCTCCCAATTTAAAAGGATTAAATTTTGATCGATTTTTTTTTTCTTTCCACTCTCTATTCTTCCACTCTTTTCCACTCCGTCCAACCAAGCATAGTTGCAAAGTAAAAGACAAAAATACAAATAAATAGGCTTACCTGTATTTTAGCCGAAATGATAAAAGGAGTTAATTGTGGACACTCTCTCATTTCCAACTTTTGTAAAGATGGCAGCGTGAGTACAACGTCATTTCCATCCCTTCCTTTTAATTCAGGCAGTCTGTCCAATGTAACCTTATTCAGCTGCGGAAGACCTTCAACCATTGAGATTGGAAAAGTATATTCCAATCGAGAGCAATACCGAATCGTAAGTATTGTCAATTTCTCCAAACTTTGACCATGCGACAATGAGGAAAGAGATGTCAAGTTACTACAGCCACCTACATGTACTTCCCTTAGACTTTGGAGATTGATGTTTGACACTTCCGTTTTGGGAATTATTTCTTCCAATTCCCAGCATGCGAATATGTTCAGTGCTTCCAGTTGTCCAAGACTTTCAGCAACATACGTTGGGAAGAGATGTCTCAATTTGTAGCAGTTGAATATTGTTACAACCTTCAAACTTTGTAGGCTTACATGACGACGGGGTCCTTGTTGTATGCTCCTCAATTCAGCAATCTGAAATAGCACTTGCATCTCATCACAAGATTTAACTTCCAACCTTTCAAGACTTTGTAGAATTGGAATTGCATTGGTTAGCACCTGCTGCTTTGTAGTATCAATGAGACATTTCATATGCTCGCAACTCTCAATACCCAGAGAAGTCAGCTTACTGAATACCACTTGGCCCGACTCCAAGCTTGGAACAAGATTTGGGTAACCCACCATATTTTTCAGATTAAGAGATTCTGTATCCCCAAATAACTGCTTGCATGCCTCTATTACAGACCCCTCAATCTTTAAAGATCTCGAGAATGGGCAGATCTCAAAGTCCATCTTCCTTCGATAAAAATTAGAAAAGCCAAAGCCAACACATAAATAAAACCTTTGTAATTTACAGAACACAAAGTCTCTTGGAACATGTTCAGAAGAAACCTCTAAAGATAATACTTTCAAGTTTGACAAGGAATTCAACTCTGATAGACTGGAAAAGCTTTCTTCTTGAACTGTGCTCTCAGTGGCCCATTCTATTCCTCCACAACCATGCAAGTATAGTTCTTCTAATTGGGACAATCTTCGTATTAACTGAGGAGGGATTCTCTGTAGTTGTTCACAATATGATAAATCCAACAATTTAAGATTATCCAAATCACCTATTTCTTCTGGCAATTCTTTGATATCAGAGCAACTAAATGAAAGAACTTCAAGTTTCTTCAACTGCCCAAGCACTGAGATGTCCAAGAGTTTGCAACTTTCCAAATGTAGAGTTGTAAGGTTTGTTTGAAACTGAAATGCATCCGGAGATATCAATCTAGAATTCAAAGCGCAAACTTTTAATGCTGTCATTCCTTCAAAGAATTCACTTGAAGTTGTCATCTTCTTATCTCCACCAAGTACAAGAATTTTGAGATTTGGGCATAGCAGTCCTTTAGGAAGTTCAACAATCCGACTAGTCTTGAAGGAGACTGCTTTGTAAGGCTCAAAACTTTCATCCTTTGGCCACAATTCAACAACCTCAGATTTTATCATAAAAGAAAACTCCGTTCTGTTTGATGCTATCCACAAAGCAAAGTCACGAACCAAGTCATGCATTTTAACATGCCTTTCTCCACAATTTAACAACAAACAAGAATTCCTGAGGATGTCCATCGCAGCAAGCACTTCGCTCCTCACTGCTTCAATCGAGCCCATACCTTTATACAACTCTAGTCCCCATGCATATCTCACCAGCTCCTCTACATAAATCTCATAATCTTCAGGAAATAAAGAGCATAACAAGAAACACATCTTGGTCTCCTTATTCTTCAGATAATCAAAACTTACCTCAAAACATAGGTAAGCATTTTGTTGATCAATGTCTTCTATGTCAAGCAATTTACGGTTTTCGAGTCTCCGATATGCTGCTTCCCAGCCATGACGATTTTTACCTTTCAGAGCACTTGCCAGTGTAACTATAGCTATGGGCAGACCTTTACATTTTTTGATAACTTTAGTTGCCACATCCTTAATAGAAGCACCAGAAGAGTCGTTTAAACCAGCTTTGGCGTTAAATAAAGCCCGAGCTTCATTGTCTTCTAAACAACCAAGTGGTATTGTCCTTTGACATTCCATAGCATCACATACATGTTGACGGCGAGTTGTTAAAAGAATTTTGCAGCCTTTATGATCCTCGGCAAATGGAATTCCTATCTTCTCCTTCAAGTCAATTTTTGCCCAAACATCATCAAGGATTATTAGAATCCTTTTATCCTTCTGTAGTTCCCGCAGTTTCGACCAGAACTCTTGGATTGATCTTCTTCCTTGGGCATTCTTCATATCGAAATCCAAGTCTTTTGCAATTTCATCTTGAATTGTTTCAAAGTTTGGCTTTTGAGACACAGTAGCAATCGCAACTCTGTCAAACAGATTTAATTTTTTGGCATGAATTCCAACTTCACGGACTAGGGTTGTCTTGCCCACTCCTGGCATCCCCCACAATCCAATCATGCTGACCTTGTCATCCTGTAAGGCTTCAATTATCGGATTGAAAGCTTTTTTTGAAGATTCAAAAACCATAAAATCCTTAGATGAGAGAAACTCTATGGTTGGATTTGTACTACGTGAACGGTAGCCCACTCGTCCAGGTTGACCAAATTTGTTAATCTTCTCTATAAGCTCACCAATAACAAGAGTGTTCTTCATTGCTTTCTTGCTTAACCAATACCGCCTACTCCAGTTAGGACACCAAATGAAACATCTCATATTTCGTTGCATTTCATTTTCCAGAGTTTCATCAGATAGGATTATGTCTGCCTGTGATAGCAAATCTTTGACATCATCTTCAATTTCTTGAAGTTGCCTTTCAGCATCCTCAATGTCATGTTGCAGCCGATCCCGTGCCTTTTTCAGATCTTCTTTTCTTTTCTTGAGCTTTTCAACATTGTGGTGAAAATGGCAAATGTAATTAAATTGACGTCCTACTGGCTTCGCCACCCAATCCACAAGCAGTGTTCCCACGCAGTTAGAAAGAGCAGACTCACAAAACCCACAACCCATTCTTGACAAGCTCAAGTTGAACAAACTTCTGCCAAACATAAAAATATTGGCCATGAGATAAATCATGGTGAAGATGCTAAAAGAAAATTAAAGAATAATGAAGGCGAACTCTCTAAACATACCAAGCAAGGTGAAGATAGTCCAAAGTGTGACAACCAACTGCTTTTTCTTCAGTTTTCTGCCGAGTAACACTTTTTAAGCACGTAACGAGGCAAGGTGAAGACAATTCAAAGTATGAGAACCAAATGCCTTTCTTCAGCACTCTACCAAGCTGAAAACACGTGATAAAAAACAATATTTTTAGATAATTTATAAGGAAACATTACTCAGAAAACATGAAATAAAAAAATTTGTGTTGATAGGATAGAAAACCAAAAAAATCGTATCATACTGTAACAGTTAAGCAACAGTCTAAAAACGATTAATTACTTGTTTGGTCAAACAATTTTAGTTGATTTTTTATTTTGGACACCAAACTGTAAAAAGTAATGATTTAGTCACCAACATTATAAAGATTTGTTTCTTTGATCGTCATACCATTTAGAGTTAAATGTTGGATGAAGATACTACAGGAATATATCATCTGCAATCATATCACTAACAATAATTATAGTACGCAATTAACCAATTATAATATATAATTGTATGAAGCACATCAAAATTTATAGGAAGTACACACTTACATAAGTGGTGAACCTTACTTACATAATTTTTTATTGGAAACATACCACCTCCAATTATTGTAAAACAATTAACCAATTAAAATTCAATATTTTTATAGGGTTTACAAAAAATATGTGAAATCCACACTTATAAATGGTGAACCTTTATATAATTTTTTTGATAATTGATTAATTATAAGATTATAATAAAAAATTTAGATTGATTTTTTTTTATTATGATTGGATAATTGTAACATTAAAGTAAAAAAATGAGAACTATTAGGTAGACTGTTATTCACACACGGCCTATGCCCAATTACCACATGGTTATGCCTACGTGAACTTATTTAAAAAAAAAAGTCCTTACAAAAAAAATCAATTTGCTTCATTTTCTAACTTCTCTGACTACCCTACTTCATTTAATAGCGCCCATCAACCCGATGGACCATTCTGCTACTATCGTACGCCGCTCGTCGGCACCGTTTTCCTTACCAAAACTCACCCAAGTCTTCTCCTTGATCCTCCCTTTCCTCATATCATATCAAGTCTTCCTAAAAACTGATAGAAACTTCTAAATTTAAAACAAAACCCAAGACCATAAAAACTAGAAACGCCACCCTCAACCACTTATCACCACCAATGGCACCGTTTCCTCTCTTCTCTCCTCCGGCTTCCCATCATAACTAGAGAAGCTCCAAAAACACAAGATCAAAAGACCCTAGAACCCAAAAAAAAAAAAAAATATCCGCCTTTCTACTCCACTGCAACCAACTTTTTTTGTTGTTTTTTTAATTTTGACAAAAAAAACGTTAAATGAATATTCCAACCTTACCACTTCTAGATAGAGGTAATAGATCCGAAGCTTTCAAGAGGAAAGTTGCTTGAGAAATAAATCCAATCCTTTTCAGATCTGATCTGCTTCACTGACCAAATTGCAAATTAGATAAAAAAAAATGTAAGAAACACACTTTATTTGTATAAAGAGGAAGCAATGGAGAAGTTGTTGCATTTACCTTGCTTGGTGCGTTCTAAATCTGCCAGGATTTATTCATGACGGATCATTGAAAACAAAGAAAAGAAATTTGAAGATTGGACTTTTTTTTCTCTACCTTTGTTTTTTTGGTATTTTTTTGATGAAAATGACAAACAAAGTGAAAACTAAAGAGAAAGAAAATATTGAAGAGTAGCTCTTTTTTTTTTTTTTGGAAGTTACAAGGAAAGAAATGTAGAACCAAACAAAATTCAACTGAAGTTTTTTCTTTTTTTTCTCTTTTTGAGTTGAAGAAAAAGCCAACAGAATCGAAATCAACCCTAAAAACTCTGGCCCAAAAGAAAAAGAAATCAAGATGGCACTGAAATGATCAAAAAGCTTGGAAATTGAAAAGAGAATTCATTTCTACCTGGAAAATTAACAAAAGAAATTAAAGAGAACAATCAACTTCTGATAAAAATGGGTTTTTGCATTTTTATTATAATGAAAATGACAAACAAATGGAAACGAAAGGAAAGAAATATTGAAAGTAGTTTTTTTTTTTTTAAAGTTCAGGAAGAAATGTAGAATCACAAAATCAATGAAATTTTTTTATTTTTGAGTTGAGGAAGCCAACAGAGTAGAAATCAACCTTAAAACTCTGCGCCAAAAGAAAAAAGAAATCAAGATGGCACTGAAATGATCAAAAAGCTTGGAAATTGAAACGAGAACGTTCACTTATCTACCCGGAAAATTCGAACAAAAGAAATTAACAGAACAATCAACTTCTGATAGCAGAAATGGATTTTTTCTGTTTTTTTTTTTTGAAGGTTTTATGGGCAAAGGATTTGTTTCGAGATTAGTATGTAAAATGTAGAGAAAAGGAACTTATTTCATGCAAAGTCTTCTTTTTCTTTTAATATAGTTATTTCATTATTAAATTCCATAGTGACCGACAAAAGCCATTAGGCATCACTTCTTTTCTTGTCGGGCTCTTCTTGTTTTATTCTTCCTTTCTTATCTAAGTCATGGAAGACCGCGCAAATATAGTCCTTTTATTGGGGGAAATTTCCGAGAAGTAACACAAATATTTATTAATTCGTACCATACTAAAAATAATTAGTGAAAAAAATAATAATATATTAATAAATAAAATTGAAAATTATTTTTATAATCGTAATGTTCAATGATCTTTATTCAAAATTATAATATATGTATATTTAGTTTATATATATGTATAATTATTTTATAAAATATATACATCCAAAAAATAAAATAAAATAATTACATTTTTGGATATTAATATTATAAAAATAAATTTAATTTTTTTATTAATTTAAATATAAATATTTCTTTTCAATTAATTTTTTTATTACAATATCAAATAATAAATTTTTTTTATTGAAACCCTTTCGTAGTTCTTCTTTGTTTATAAAACTATTGTTTCATCCTCATTATATCCGATAAACAAAATTCACAACTAATTCAAAAGAATTTCCCATTAGTAAGTCAGATCATTCCTAATTCGTGATAGAAAACTATTAAAACAGGAAAAGAGCTGGGCTTGAAAATATTTTCCCGTGTTCACTAAATAATAATTAGATTAATTATCATAATTCATCACATAGAAAAAAGATATATGATACAAACAATTCAAAAATACAATGAAGGTATAATCATATTTTTCATACACTTGAAAATTATATATTAAGTTATTATAAAACAAACACACAATAATAATACCTTTAAAATGGGAAAGCTTTTATCTAAGGCAAGCTTGACTATTCATTTAGCCTTTTATGAAGGCTATGTCGGCAAATTTCATTATTTTGTCCAAAATGATTACATTATATGATTAAATTTTCTGGTACTTGATTAATGTTTTTTATGTAAAAAAAGATACTTCACTTATTATCCTTATCTCGATTTACTTTAACAATAAAGTATGAAAGAAAAAATAGAATATGATATTCAACAAACAGTCAAACAAGCAATAAAAGATGGTGCTCTTGTGTCTACCGGTCACCAAATTAATTGAAACAATAGTAACCTAAAGATATTTATGACAGATTTTTAATTTGTTGGTTATTTTCTGCATTAATTACAGGCTTGCTTGTAATATAGTCCAATTCTAACGGTTCACTTTAAAAGAGATATAAATAATAAATTAATTTTTACAATATCTTTTAATTCAAATCAAATAAAATTTAAATTTAATTCGAATATTATTGATTCAAGTTTGAGTAATTTAACAAGTTTAAACATTTTAATAATAATTGATAAATTAATTTAATCGAATTTTTATATTTTTTATTATTTTAATTAAAAATTATTATTTTATATTTATATTTATATTAATATATCAATTCAAGATCAAATTTAAACATATAAATAAATTTAAAATGAAGTATGAAAATTAAATTTATTTTTTATTAAACAAATTTAATAAAAAAAGTTTGAATATTTCAATTTTTATCTTGAATTAAATTTAAACTTAAAAATTAAATTTTGATCAAATTCGAATTGAATACAAGAATAAATTTCTCTTTTTGAATTGAAGGAAAAATAAAGTAGAAATCAACCTTAAAACTCATTGAAAAAAAAAAGGAAAGCTAGCACTGAAATGATCAAAAGGCTTGGAAATTGAAAAGAGAATGTTCACTTACTTGCCTGGAAAATTCAAACAAAAAGAGATTAACAGAAGACCGCTTCTGGTAGCAAAAATGGGTTTTTGCCTTCTTTTTCTTTTTTAGGTTTTATGGCCAAAAGATTTGTTTTAAGATTACTACGTAAAATGTAGAGAAAGGAAGACTTAATTTCTTCTGAGTCTTCTTCTTTTCTTTTGATACTTTCCTTATTAAATGCCATAATGGCCGACAAAAGCCATGACCCATCACTTCTTTTCTTCTAGGGTCTTATTTTTTTATTCTTCTTTTCTTGTCTAAAGTCTTCTTTTTTATTGGTCATTTCAAATCTATGGAATATTTATTCATTAGTAAAGTTATAATATATTAATAATAAAAATTATTTTTGTAATCGTAATGTTCAATGATCTTAATTTAAAATTATAATATGTACATAAAAATAAAATAAGTATTTTTTGGATTTTTTATTAATTTAAATATAGATATTTCTTTTCAATTATTTATTTTTATTGTAATATCAAATAATAATATAGAGCTATTGCTTCATTCTCTTTATTTTTAATAAACGAAATTCACAACCAATCCAAAGTAATTTCTACTACTTCTGCCAATGTTCACTAATTATTAATTAGATTAATTACCATGATTCTTCACATAAAAAAATTAATTTAAGTCCAAAAATTTTAAATTACTAATGCACTTCGATTGAAGAATTACGACATTTTAAAAAGACATGATACAAACAGCTTAAAAATATAATAAAAGTATAATCTTATTTTACATAAGCTTGAAAATTATATAATTAAGTTATTATGAAACTAACACACAATAATAATACCATTAAAATGGGTAAGCTGTTATCTAAGGCAAGCTTGGCTATTCATTAAGACTTTTATGAAGACGTCGGCAAATTTCATTATTTGTTCACATTGTATGATTAAATTTCCTGATACTTGATTAATATTTTTTATATGTAAAAAAATACTTTACCCATCATCTTTGTCTTAATTAACTCTAGTAATAAATTGTAAAAGAAGGAAATAAAGTATGATATCCAATAATGGTCAAGACAAACAATAATAAAAATGGAGCTTCTCTATCTACTGGTCTACAAATTAATGGAAACAATACTAACCTAAAGATATTCATGATAGGTTTCTAATTTGTTGATTATTTTTTACATTAATTATAGGCTTACTTGTTGCAGACGACTATACATGATAATGTAGTTACTCATGAATATCAAATTTTTATAATTAATCATAGTATTTGAATTAAAATTTCATTGTAAACATTTATGTATTATTAATCTTATATATTATTTTTCTCTGTAATATACTGTGAACTTTTTTTTTTATCTATATCCATCATTGCAAAAGAAAAAAAAGAGAGAAAATAATAATATGAAAAAAGCAAATAATAAAAGGTAAGTAATGTTCTTAACAAGTATTAAATTCTTACAAGGAGCTACGAGAGTGAACTATTTTATTTAATTACTTGAGAATAGAGTATTAACAAGTTATAGATTTGTTAAATCTAATAAATTTATAATGAGACGATAACCATTGGATCAAGAGTATCCAAAGGTTATAAAATAATTTGATTCTAACGGTTAGCTTTAAAATTGATTACTCCTTTATCACGTGTTTCTCATTCTACATATATATCAAATTTAGATGTAAATGATGGATAATGTTTGTGAGATATTTTAATTTGATTCGAATAAAATTTTATAATTTAATAATTATTTATTTGAGTTTAAGTAGTTTAATGAGTTTATATATTTTACTATTTGATTTAAATAATTAATTAATTTAATCTCATTTTTATATTTTTTATATTTTTATTATTTTAATTAAAAATTATTATTTTATCTTTATATTTATATTAATTTGAGTTAAAATTTAAATACATAATCAAGTTTAACATTAAATATAAAATTTAAATTTATTTTTTATTAGATAAAATTAATTGAAAGAGTTCAAATATTTTTATTTTTTTAAGTCGAATTCAAATTTAAAAATTAGAATTTGATTAAATTTAAATCAAATTTAAAATCAAACTTGTCTTTTTGAGTTGAAGGAAAAGCAAAATAAAAATTAACCTTAAAACTCTTAGACCAAAAAACAAAAGAAATCAAGCTCGCAATGAAATGATCAAAAATGCTTAGAAATTGAAAAGAGAACGTTCACTTATTTAATTGGAAAATTCGAATAAAAAGATTAATAGAACACTCAGCTTCTAATAGCAGAAATGGATTTTTGCTTTTCTTTTTTTTTTTGGTTTAATGACCAAACGATTGGTTTTATGATTATTATGTAAAATGTAGAGAAAAGAAGACCTATTTTCATCTAAGTCTTCTTCTTTTTCTTTTAATATTGTTATTTCCTTAATAAATTCCACAGTGGCCGACAAAAGCCATGTGACTGACAAAAGCAATGACCCGTGACTTGTGTTATTCTCGGGTCTTTTTTTTTTTTTTTTTTTCATTCTTCCTTCTTATCTAAGTTATCGAAGACAGCC